GCTGCTTTTTATCCAGTTTTTTTCTTACTTTTCTATCGTCATTGGGTTTCTTCATAAGTAGTATCAACTGTGTTCCGACATGCAGTTTTGGCGTGTATGTTGTATACTGTGGAGAAAAGTGAAACGTTTAATGAGAACTACCATTTCAGTAGTCATAAAAGACGATTTGAATACAGTCGGTCTTTTTGATTATACGGGTAGTCGACTCTTCGGGATAGTTTTAGTTTCATATTTTACAATGTTGTGCACTGATTTTGGTTGCTTTCTCTTGGCTACCCATTTGTTTGACAAATGAAAGAAATAAGCGTTAGTCACTCACTGAAAGCGTTGGAAGATATGGAATCTGAGTAAACCAGATGTGTGAATTGTGACTAGAAACACGGGCTCGACCGTGAGCGACATTCAACCTTGTCATACCGTTTCTCTAACCAGGATTGAAGTTGACCACCCGGAAGCCACACGCGATTTACTTGATCAAGTCCACTAGTCAAGATTTTTGTACCTGCGCGCCAGGTCATGGTCTAGTCATCCTTGGTCTTCAAACCGAGGAAGCCGTTAAACGTTGATGAACAATAGTTGCATGCCTCTCTCTCTCGGTATATCTTACCTTTTCAATGGAATTTGTTTGGTATAAAAAGGTGTCAGCACCATATGCGAAATCAAAGCGGTGTCATATTGCTCTCTGATTGGAACTCATATTTCGCATATCCAGTAATTTGTATGTCGATTGGTGGGATTCGAGCCCACGCATGGACCCCGCCTACGCTTTGTACGCGCATGCTCTACTAACTGAGCTACGAAGCCACACTGATAGCACTGATCTTTTCATATTAGAATTTAACCGTCCAACTTACAGAGGCATGTGGCATCCACCAGTTAGCATGCACGCTGATTACCCCGACAGGTTTTCCTTACAATTCACCGGAGTCCACCGAATGAGCTTCTAAGCTAAGATTAATTGTTCAAATTGTTGTTTGGCAGATTTGAAGTTTGTATGTCGATTGTTTCTTATGCCTTACTCTGCATATAGTCCAAAATAGAACAGCGGGGAATGATATAACTGACCGGTGATGCTACCCGTTTCTATTGTCCCTGAAACAATCCGTGATGTTCCGAACCGAGACTTCATTTTTATCTATGTAGTAACTCGCAAGAAACTAGCCATGTTTGTCTGTCACTTCAGCAACGAAAACCTAAGATTATGGTAGACTGGTAGAATGTACAATAAGGACTGAAAGCTCAGTATGGTCGTCGAGGGGGGGAGTGTATCATTCTGAAGCAGTTACAGAACGATAGTCTATTTGTTTTTCTTCTTACCCCGGTTTTCGCAAAAAACGGTTAGTAATTCATTGAGCTTTGTAGCAATCAGCAAAGTTGCTGTACTGTGTTTCGCCTTACAATCCCGATGCCGCCGATGATGATGATATTGGATCCATCAGAAATGATATCTGTGCGTTTTTTAACGAGATTCAAGTTATAAAATAATTATGAGCTTCACATTGTGAAATATTCTTATTTTATTAGAGCACTGTTCATCGATCAGATTCGTGAGACCATTTCAGTGGATGAATTGCTAAGGGATGGGACTAGAATTGCCTGTTCATAACTTCCGTCAGCTGTTTCGATTGCCGTCAGTTAGCGGACGGCCGAGTGATATTTTTATGCTGTGGTATCCTGTAGTTATGGTGTATCCGGTATAGTTGCATCGGTTTTTCAATCTTCACAGCTGTCAGTATGTGTACAAATTCACCACTTTGGTTCATCAACTTCCGAATTAGTTCAAGTAAATCATGATCAACCAAGTAAGATCCAAACAGCGAGTTGACTGACAGTCAGTTTTTATTTCTATTAGTCGGAAGAAAGAACATAAGGTCTCATGCCAACTTTAAGACAACCCAATATCTGATCATTTATTCCTATCTTTGTTCTGTGGTTCCACCCGCACTGGGGTGCAACTTAGGTCCACTCTGTGTTGCGACTCGAGCATCGGTACATGCACATAGAACAGTTCACGCGTCTGATATCCCTGAGAACTAGGCCAGTGTCAGTTTGTCGCAAGCCTAACGAAATGCAAGTTGCCGTCATGACAACTTGTCCGTCTCATCGTCGCGTTGTCGCACCCACGGCATATTTGGCAACACATCTTCTCAGTTTGTATGCTTCAATCAACGACACACTATTGGTCCTTCTGGCAATTTCCATCGATCCATCCCCGAGATCGGTCGATTCGAAACGGATGCACGTGGTGCACTTTTTCGTGACCTGTTACAGTCAATTTGTTTCCTATTTCCCTGCATTGATCCATCGAATCGTCATACTCTCATCAAAACTTAGTTTTACATGTGTGATTGAACTCTCTCGACCAAATGTTCTGTTTCTCTCTCTCTCTTGCTCATCCACACATTGGAACGCCCACACGCGCGCACTCAACAACGCACGCGCGCATGCACACACACGTGACAGACCCTCGAAATAAGCCATGTTTTGTACTCATTCGTTTTTTCCTAGTTTCGCGGCGCTTGTGCTTCACATGATCGCTTGCGTGTACCCCTCACCCCAAAAAGAGCGTTGATGCGTGCGCTTGAATCGGCTAGTCATCCGGATATCATACCGTTGTCTGGGTTGCAATGCGACATGAACGGAAGTCGTGATCGCGTGTTGATGCATGCATGTACTGTGATGCAGAGTGATGTGTTTTTAACCCCGGCACTGTGGCTCGTTTACGCACAACTATTCACTAGGTGAACATGTCCGCTACGAATTCGTACTAACCATCTGCAGTAGTCTGGGGATTTTTGCAGTCTGCTAAGATGACCAAATGCCTGGGCAGATTGTGTACAAAGTTGTTGCGTTTATTGGGAACCGAGCCGTCGTTGTCAGATATGGACTTCACAGATTTCTGTCCTCAAAATCTGGTATATTTATATCATTGGCGGACTTCCCTGTCATCGTGCTTGTACATTGTCCTTGT